AGGCAGGTACCATATAATTTACTGATTGGCTGCTAACCCATACCTATTAAGTTTTGTGCTTTTTTTCTGACTGTACCCCTAAAAAAGGTTTTGTTGTGGCAGTCATCTCAAATCTGCCATAAAGAACAGTGGTAAAAAAAAAAAAAAGTACTTCGCTTTTCTCCCGTGGTTTCCTTGAATGCTTCTGTTATATGTCTATTTCCTCCTGGTTCCGTATGTTCTCTGGCAGATCTCCTGTTTCTGATGTATTTGGAAAAGTTTTTATGCTTGAGAACATTTTTTTGGTCTACTTTATTATGGTCTTATTTTAACTTGCCAGAGTTTATGCTATTCCTCTTTTGGACGGAAGCAGAAAATAACACTATTCCACAAGTGAATGTACACATGGCATTCACAAGAGGCTCAGGTATTTGCAGTGGGTATCTGCAAATGCAACCTATGGCACTTTGGTGTGTGCAAGACAGTTTGTCAAAGGCTGGCTGGAGAATAAAGGACTGAGCAAAATGTGGTCCAGCAACTGTAGGTACTAATGTTTCCATCAGCTTGCATTCTTGGTATATTCCTAGAGGGTTGTCTTTTAAATATAATTTTAAGAAAAATACAACCAGCCTCCAATCTGAATAATACCTGCAGCAAGCTTACTAGCACAAATTATTATTTCACAGCATTTTAATAGCAACTAATATTGTGGAACCCCATTGCAGCAGGTATTGCACAAGGTTAAGGAGAAAGTTAGTCCCTGGCCCAAACACCAAAATGATTCTGTCCCTGTAGCTTACCTAGGACACAGCTGAATGAGCACGCTCAGTACTTAGGTCACTCCTACATTTTAACAGTGACCCCAGAGCCTTGTTGGGGTACAGACTTGGTGGGCCATTCACAGTGACAGGTGGTATGCTCCACACAGGATTTGGCCAATCTCACTTTAAGGCTGTGCCTGTGCCTCTGAGGTTTCCATGAGTGAGGCTTGTATGTCTAAGTGTTTTGCTGAATCAGGGCCCCACTTTATAAGAAATGTGCTATTAAACATATGTTATGCTTAATCTTAGTGTTAAGACTAAGTGCTTTGTCTCCTGCTCCTTTCCCAGCTAAACTCCACCTGTGGTGAGAGTCATTCATCTTGAATTGCTTTAATGCAGTGTTTAAGTATGTCATCTTGGCAACAAGGCAGTTTGCATGGCATTTCAGTGAAAGATTAAAATCCCATTCACATTTTTAATACACATTTCTCTCACATAAATTCTCACAGCTTGGTTGGAAGGTCCTGCATGAGTAATAAGGTTGTTGGCACAAACACATACCAGATCTATTAAGTAAAGGAGAAGAATTTGTTTGTTCCTACATTTATATAAGAGCTGTGAGGCTTACGTTGCACAAAATGGTTTAAGACACTGGCATTTTATTAGCAGGACATTACTAGTCATGAGATAACACATCCTCCCCAAAATGCATCAGGGTCAGTACAGATAAATCTCTGCACACTGGTTTGAAAATTAAGCTCTTGCTATATGAAGTATCTATGCAAAAGGCAGCTTTCACTGCTTATATACAAAGGCAGACTATAGCAAAAAACTTGCTCTTTTATGTAACAGCCACGCTACTGAAAGTGAGCTGACTGAATATTCTATATGTGAATGTGTTTTTTCAAGTAAATAGAGAGTCACATTTCAGTTTACTTTCTTTCATTCATAATTTTGGGAAGCGATCACTCAGGGTATGTAACATGCAACTCAGAAATCAGAATTCTGCAAAGCAAGTTCTCTGCTGAACTCCACATTATCAGGTCTGAGTGATATTTTTGCACAAATATTCTGCAGTGCAGTTTTGCCCCACAGATGCTGCAAGAGCGTGAGCTGGAGAACTTTGTCTCAGTATCTTATGACATTTAGTGCTCTTGCAACGTAGGCCCAACCTGAAGTACTTTGCACATGGTGGGAATCTTCCACTGCCTTTATTTAGGGCTTTGAATTAAGCCTTCTATGAACAATGAATTATAAGAATAATAATGCATTGCAAGGAAATAACTGGTGAATGTCCAGCCTTTAATATCTGTATGTCACCAATTTTGTGTTAGAATAGCAAAACATATCCTTTCCTGACAGCTTAAAGTTACATTTGCCAAACAAATGTTGTGTAGTTCCACAGTCACATTGAACAGTTTGGATTGTTTCTTTATTACACGCCCTGTATCAAGTAATGTATTAGTTGTTGTTATTCTCAAAATGAACATAACTGTATGTTTGATATAAACCAGTAAAGAGAATTATAAGAAAATGTGAGAGGCAGACTTGGAAGCTCATGTGCAAATGGATTAAAATGTACCTATGCAATTTATGAATAAATTTGCCATGATCTGAAAGAGAATTACCAGGAAACCAAGATAACTCTGCAGCTAAGGATCCCTTTAATGACCAAAAGAATGTATCTCATCCACTGCTCGAGAGGTCCAGCAGTAGTTCAGAAATGCAGAGTGCAGTTATTGGATGTCTCTAGATGCACCACAATTAGTTTGTCGATATGAGTATGGAAATGTTTGAGAGCTGAAGCAACATGGACACAATGAGGAATGGTATTACTGATGCTGTGTGTGGTATTTTGGGGCTTTATGCAAGTCTAGGAATTATTCAACCCAGGGAAAACATACACATTTCAAACGTTGTCACCTTATTTACAGACTTTCATTAATAAAGTTTAAATATCAGCAATTTCTGAGTGTTTTCTAGTCATAATAATTTAAAAGTCTAGTATTTAAAAGTGCTCCAGAAATTATGCATTATCTAAAACTACTGCTTGACTGCCTTCCCCAAACTCAGTCTTCCAACCCCTGATTTAACTTAGTCCTGATAGAAGACGAGACAACTGGAGAATCCTGTGTGTGCTAATAATCACTCAGGAAAACAGAGAGGAGGTTAAGAGTTCAGATTGTGTAGCCAGTAAAATGAAGGGAGTATGACTGCTTTCTTAAAAATAATTGGGGGTAAACACCGCTAAGAGGTAAGGGCTATTTAAGCAAAGGAACAAAATTGGCACGAGATTAGGTTGGAAATATACAAAAGGTTTTCAAACATCAAAAGAATGAGAGTTTAGAAAGCTTCCTAATTAGAAGACTACATGCAAGCTCCCTTAGTGTTATTCTGCATCTTGCTACAGTTAGGAATTTAATTGTGAAATCCAAAACTCATTCCCAGCTGTATATTCTGTGTCTGTTATTTGGGAAACAGCTGTATTTTAATAAATGCACATTAAAGACAGTTTTCACCCTTTCACACATTCTATAAATACATCAAAGTACTGAGTTGTGAGAACTAAGGTCTCCCAAAGCCAACCTTCCCATAGGCCACATGTGAAAATCTTTAAGGGGCCAAGAGGCACAATACACCTCATACCTTGAAGAACTCTGGCAAGGACTTGCAGTCAGAAATGACTCTCTAGGACATTTGCAGGGTGAGGCTGGGTGGACATGTGGCCAAGACATGTTATACCATTAAAACAGCCGCATTTCCTGTCTCTGGCTCATTTCCATTCACCATTAGGAATCTGACTACCTGGCAGCCCTGATGTCAGTTCAGGCTTGCTGCCATTTAACTGACATTGCCCTGACCTGAAACTTGCACTCAAGACTACTTACAAGCACGGTAACATCGAGATGTACCAGTTACCGACTGTCAGTAAAGCACACTACTGCAGTGCACCGGGGATCACTACCTCACCGCCTTTGTTAAATGCTTCCTCCAGCTCTACTTGCTCATTACGCTCCCGTGCCACCCCTCCAGGGCCAGACTGCTGCCCTACCGTGTCCTGTGGCCTATACCCTACGGAGACTCTGACCAGGCTGGTTCCCAGGCTGCACCTGAGAGTGTGGAAAACTTCATCTCTCCCACCCTACCCAGGCAGGAGCAGCAGCACTGTTTATCAGGAAGGCTGTGGCTACACCTCGCCTTCCCACAGCCCCATTTCTGAAGAGGAGCAACCCCAGCTCTCCCCGGGCCTCCCTGTCCGGGACAGGCCTATGCTGACGGTATTTCGGGTGAACGGCCCGTAGCGGGAGAGAAGACAGAAGCCGAGCCCGTGGGTCCCACCGCCACCATCCCCTCAAGAACGACCTCCATCGCCGCGCAAAACAAGAGACATACTGAGATCACCCCCGCTAGCCCTGCAAACCCCGACACGGTACAGCGCGGAGCACCGCCCCTTAAGTGATGGATGGAGGATCCAACCGATCAGACCGCAGGACAGACTCAGTCCTGCCTCTTCCTTTTTACAGACAAGCAGCTGGGCCAATCACAAGTGAAGCAGACCTCTCACTTCCCTTCTGACTCTCACGAGCTTTCGCAGGTCGGCTCCCGCCCCATCGCCCGCCGCGAGTGACTGCGCAGCCGCCATGTTGGTTGCTATGTTGCGAGGGCTTCTCGTATGAGGCAGGCGGGCGGGCACGAGGGGAGGAGGCTGTTGTTCCTCCACCTTCTCCCCCACAGGCGTTCGCTCACTTGCTTGCTTACCGTCAGGGAGGGCGCTTCTGCAGAGCCGCGCCGCTTCTCCCCTCCCTGGTCCCCTCTGCCTCCCGGCCGGGTCTCCGCACAGGACGATTGCCGGTGTGTGTGAGGCGGAGACGTGCCCCGTGAGGGGGAGACCCGACCAGCCCGGCGCTGCTCTGCCTGCACCCCGGCTCCCGCCTCGCCACCCCTTGCGGCCAGTCACTGTGAGGAAAGGGGAAAAGCAGAGGCCGGAGGGGGGGATCCGCTGCTGTCTCCCCCCTCCGGGCTTCCCCCTCCGTTCCTCCCCCAGCTCTTCCCCTTCATCCACCTCCCGGTCCCTCGGCCCAGCTGCCGCAGTACGATGTGGTCCTCGCCGCTGCGGCTGGGCGCGGGGCGGCTGCTCTCGCCGCTCCCGAGGCTGTGGCTGGGGCGGTCGCTGCGGGGGAACTGAAGGCAGAGAGCGGCGCTCCCGCGCACGGAGGTGCGGTGCGGTGCTGCGCGGTGGTGCGCGCGCGCACCCCGGCGCGTGCCCGAGCGTCTGCGGCGCGTGCCCGTGCGCGGTGCGGGGGGTCGCGGGGCCGCAGCGGCGAGCGCAGCCCCCGCGCCTCTTCCCTCCGCGGTCCCCGCTCCATCTGGAAGGACGTGGCTGTTATATGAAGGTAAGGCCGTCGGGGCGCCCGGGTCTCCGTACTGTGGGGGGAGAGGGGCGTCGGCACGGGGGGTGATACTGTGCGCCGTATTCCTGTGCTATGACCCCCGTCCACCTCCCGTGGCTGTAGGGGCCGCCGCTCCCCTCAGCCTCGCTCTCCCTCCCGTAACTTCGCGCACAGGTCGCCGGTGGCGGAGAGTGGCTGTGCCGAGAGCTCTCTTGGGGTGGGGGGGCGGGGGTGTGGGGGTGCTCTTTCTGTGTGTTTATGTGTCCCCGAAAAGAAGGGAGATGGGGAGATCCGGATCCTCTCTGGCTCAGGCGTCGGGGGAATTGTGTGGAACCGGCCGTCGGCCCGCGGAGAGGGCTCGTAAACAGCCCTTGGGGAGCGAGCTGCGGGGCCGCGGGCGGTGGGGGCAGGTCGGGGCTGTTGGGAACTGTAAAATGTGGTGAACTCTGCTGAGTGCCCGAAACAGATTATTGCTTTTAACATGTTTTATATGAAAGTTTGCGTTCCTGTGCTTTCTAGGCACATGTACGCGTTGCCCTGGTTATGGGCAAGGGAAATGGGTTTGAGTGCTGTCGTTGCATTCCTCTGGTACATTTTTAGTATCTCCCTCAAGCAGAAGGCTTGTATAATCGCCTGTGTCTATATGCGAGAGAGGATTTCGGTGTACCTGGGGATGGGTTAATTCGTGTATACTGTTGCAGCACCAGCTAGAAGAAGAATAACGTCTTTTCCTCTCAAAAAATCTCCAAGAGCTAGTTGCTAAAACTAGATAGCTGCCAGTGGAAGTGAAATGTTCCCACCACTTGCCTATTCAAAGAATTTATGTCGTTTAGTTGTAAAATATATGTGAATGAACTTTGTGCTGTTACTTACCACCCTTCCAGGGCTTCAGTGTGGCCAAGCTGTTACATTATTTTAACTGTGAGATAGAAAGTATTTATGTGATATGTGTATTACAGAAGTGCTAGTGGATCTCAGCTGAAGAATAATTGTTACATTACAGTATGCATATACATTTTCTCACCCACGGGCCCTTTTTTTTTTGCCCTGAGCCAAACTCTGTGTTGAGGGGGGGTTGGGGGGTGGGGAGGGGGTGTGTGAGTGCACGTTTTCCGGCCTGTTACTGGCAAATAACTGCTCTGTAATGCTGGGAGCCGCTGGCGTGTTCACCCACATGCAGAGGTTTATGAGCTTGTGGCACCGTGAATGTGCGTTGCTGGAATACAAGAATGGGGTACATTAGAATTGGTAAAACCATTTTCTTATGAGGTATGTATATTATATTGTAGGAAAGTTTTCCAGTTCATTGCCTAAACATAAAATATTCAGTATCGTGATCTTACGGATGCCATTTTCTTGACAATGGATTTCTTGCTTCACTGACCTAAAAAGTTGTTTTTACATATTGTCATGACTCTGGCTTTGCATCATGTTGATAAAATATGACTCTGGGTGATAAGCTTACAGATATGTATGTGTGTGTCTATATGCTTCCCAGGCACGTTTATGCTTTATAAACTCAGAAATGTGCCCGTTGGTCTGATTTTTTGAGATAATTTTGTTGTCATTAGAGTTTGTGTATTTTTAGATTATGTTTCTGGTTTTGTAGATTTTTTCTTTATTAGATCAAATCATTGCAATACAAATTCATTTTCCTCAAAAGTAGAGATGTAACAAAAGGTAAAATATTAATACATTTTCTTAATGTTTGCAGTTAAGTTTGTTTGGAATCAGGCTCACCTACTTAGGGTTTAGTTTGATGTCAGTTTCTTGTTTGGTAAAATTTTCCACGAAATGTGTAGTTTGTTGCCATGCTTTTTACAATGTCTAATTTAGGTTGTACATAGAAGTATTGATTGAACACCCTTGCTAAAAATACTTGCACTATAGCAGCCGATTGGATGTACTAATACTGTAGCACCAGGAAAGTTAAGCCTATACTGTTCTTCTGTGACTAGAATTAATTTATTAGCAGCTACATTTGTAAAATGTGAACAAAAGCAAAATCCTGTAATCTTAGAAGTAATACTCATGGCTCTATGGAGTGAGCTCTTTATTAATGAATGGAATTCATGTAGTACTATTTACATGTCATTACCATTAGCATATTTGGGATATATTGTAACTTAATACCCAGGGTACATCATTTTGTCTGTGATCTTGCAGTGACCCCTGTTTGGGCAGAGGGATCCACCTACACAAAACTCGCTGCAGGAACTTGTAGCTGTAACAGGCATTCTGTAGCCTTTAGTCTGATGTTTATCGTGAGCATTTGCTGTGTGTGAATGTTTTGTATGTTTTGTTGTTAACCTTTGTGTTTGCGTGGCATGCTATACAGGCTTCTATGGGTGCAGAAAGCTGCAGGATTGGTGCCTGGAGTAACAGCCTGATACAGTAGTGTGTGACATGATTATTTTGGGAAAAAGAGGGTTTAAAATTTCTTTCATATTGTAATTTAGTGCTCCTGAAAGGTCCTGATCAGCATTTCGGGGTTCCATCTCTCTAGGGTCTTGTTATCATTGGTAGGTTATCTTATGAATGTTTTGTTGAATGTGTCTGGAAGTTCTGTGCATTTCTTTATGCTCACATATAAAAAGTAAAATGTGTACTCTATAAGCAGATTCTGGAGAACTGAGTGGAAGTTACAACTTGGAATACACTGGATGAGGAGATAGGATGGTTCATTTAGTCTCTTAAACTAACCTGTACATGGGAAACAAAGGACAGAATGGCTTGCTCAGGCAGTTTAGACCTTAGGATGAGGTAAATGGGTTGGGTTATGTGTCTAAGTAAAATTATGGTGGATTAAAAATTCTGCTTTAACTTTTCAGCTGATCAAAATTTAATTAAAACAAATAGGAGGGGCATGCATGTGTTCTATTGTTGATGTCAACCTTATATTGATAAATAGCACATTTTTGTGATTTGTCTTCTCAGGTTTTCATACTATTAGATCCTTTGATACATCATGATTCTGACTCATCCTTCCCTGTGTTCTGCCTCCCAACCTCACAGTTTGGGTGTAAATTTGGTACAAGATCACATGAATCCCATGCCTTCAAACCCTGTTTTTGTGTTACCTCACTTCCATTCTCACCAGTTAGAAAATGGTCAAACAAGAGAATCTTTCAGCAGATGGTTGATTCTGCTTTCTCTTTTTTTTTTTTTTTTTTTCTTTTTTTGGGTAATATCTCACTTTCACTCTGGTGCTGTCGCTGTTTTATAAAATGGCCAGACAAAATTCTCATGAGTTTTATTATGCTCCTGCATCAACAACTGTAAAAATGGTTTGTGTGTATATATAATATGGGATTGTTTGTTGTTTGTAATGGAAAGAAGGAACTGTGGAGGTGGAAGAAAAAGAGGAGGGGAGAATGGCCTGGGCAGGAGACAAAACCAAAAAAGCTCAACAGTGGCCTGGTAACACAACAGCAGGTCTTTAAAGTCTGGGCCAGCTGTTCATATATGCTTGTTTGGGAACAGAAGCTGTTTTTCCTTGGGGATTTGTAATGCACTGAATTAGCACAAAAATAGTTTTACTTAGGCTTTTGAAAGTCTTTAATTTCTAAAATTTTTCTGTTTCCTCTAAGTTCTCTCTGATACGTCATAAAGGTACGTATCTTCGGGTACATATTTAAAAAATCCATTCTTTATTTTGAAGGATTTCAGAGTTATTAGAAAGTTACTGCTATTTGTCACTTACAAAATAGATTGCTTCAAGTTTACAGCAGTTAATGTGTTCACAGATGTTTTATTGATGTGTCGACATAGCAGAACCAGGTGTCCAGATGTAGGTTACAAGAATATGGTCTTTTATGGTCATCTGTGTTACAGCATTACTAAAGTCTGTGCTGCTTGTACGCTTGCTGTCCCAGTACTATGATATAGAATATTACAGATGATGGTCATGTAGTTACTCAGGTGGATCACACAAGCATAACTAGATGAATATTTGTTTGAAATGTGAGAATTACACCAGTTTCTTCTTTCTTAGCTTATGTGCCTTCAAAAAAAACTTGGTAGGGTGATGCAATTAGACCTCTCTTGGCCCATTACTTCTTGGACAAGTTATAAGGTGACTGTTGGGTGATAAATGCAATTCCATATGCGTGGTTTATGAGATACTGCCATCTCTACAGTTACATGAGGAAGGGGGAAATGGCTAATATCTATTTAAAAATAAACAGTCTTTTAATTATGGGTACTTATGACCTGTAAGGAGGAATGCTCTAGGAAATATTTTCGCTGATTGGGAAATGAAATGCAGTTGCCACTTTAGAGTTTTCAAGCCATCCATTAAATTTTAGAGGAAAAAAAATGATAATGCATTTGCTATTGCATGTATGTTTGTACATTGCCCTTCTCAACATTTCTTATTTTCTGCAGGGTAACTACCTGAGAGAATGACTGAATTATTCTGCATGACCAAAAGCCAAAATCTTCAAATGAAAATCAAATGTAGTGCTGCTAGAGATTAACATTTTCACACGTGGATTTTTTAATTAGAATGGTGTAGATTAGATTAAAGGAAGATGTATTCAGTTCTCTTGTCAACCTGGGGTTTATACTTTAAAAATCGCTAAATATCTGGTATTAAATGCTGAAAACCTTGTTCTAACTGAGGCTTTTTTGGGATGATGTTCCAGTCTGGAGGCTTCAGTTGAATGTAATTTTGTTATTTTGTTTGATAGTTTTAATAAGGTAATTTTATTTTTTATTTTTTTTTTTAGTAGAAATACAATTTGAGTTTATGCTGTTAATTGTGTTTGTCTCTAAGAGGATATTAACTTTTAAGACAGTTGGGTATACTTTAGCTTTTCCTGAGTCCTTTGGTGAGTTTATTCCATTTATGTACCAACATCTTGCTGCTTTAAAAAACCCAAACCAACCAGCCCCAAAAAACCCCACAAACCAAATCCCCAAATAATATCCTGTGTCTGTTGTGAAAGACCAGAAATAAGAAACACTGAAACTGAATGTTTGTTGACTGCAATGGAAGTTAC